AAGGGCAAGCGCCCCCCCCCTACGCTATGCCACTGTGCCTTGTTTCTCCTGTGATGTTCATGTCCCCCTTAATCCAGCTATAATACATGGATTAAGGAAAATCAACATGTAAATTCTCACTTCACCTTAATATAGGTATTAACCAAAACTATGCATTTTGTCATATTTCTATGCAATTATTGTGATGGCACACTTAGGAATCTTATAAACAATACATGGCAGTCTTGTTGCCTTATAAACAATCCATGGCAGGCTGACATGCTAAAAATCCAACTGGATTTTTATGATTTCATGAGGGATCCAGAAATAGGAATCCCACATGCTTGCACGTGCTTGCAACTGTGCTTGTGTTACCGATACAGGGGAGTTTCAGGGTGCCCATCCTCATGCCAATTATCTGCATAAAAGCTTATTTTAGACCATGTCTGCCAATAATTAACATATGTATAGGTTGTCATGGCTTTCCCAGTTAAACGTTTTTAACTTGCATATTGTTTAGGCAGGATGGAAGATGTTATTGTTTAAGGGGAATGTGTTTTCTTTCCACAATATGGGTGGCACACGTGTGTCAAACTTTACAATCCAACTGATGGCCACTCTCATTACAGCTCTTGTTAATCTGCTGAAAAGACTTGGGTAGCTGGATTTATATGTATATTTGAGGCTAAATTCTTCACTTAGTGTAAAAACTTAAGAAAGCATTAAAAGTAGCATTCTTTTGCTTGGCTTCATTTGTTCAACAGGTACAGATTTAGCAACCATAGCAGGAAGTTCTTTCAGCTAAATTTCCCAAGAGATTTAAGAAACTCACATTCAACCAGTTGGCATTCAAAATATGAAATATCACTGTGTGGGTGGACTTAAACTTTAGGCTACAAATAAATAAGGTATTGTCTTTTTTTTTCCTAGGGGTATGTCAGAAGCACAACCAGTTGGAACATACTCCTCATGCAATTGTACAGCCTATAGCGATGACACTTACCTCTGATCTTTCAAACTGTCCTCAATGTACCAAAGCTAAATGGGATGATGGCCGGAAACTGTCTGCTCCAGACAGCAACAAGTCCAGTCTTGAAGGGACACATGGACAGAACAGTGAAAAAGGGAGTGGTGGAAGTACATCAGTGCTTGACAAAGAAGGAGAAGAAGATAGCGAAGAAGGCTTTTGTGAAAGGCTTTGTGTAGAAATCCGCGTAAAACTCAGGGGCATAGTGGATAGCAAATACTTCAACCGAGGAATTATGATAGCTATTCTTGTAAATACAATCAGCATGGGCATTGAGCACCATGAACAGGTAAGTCAATTATTCACTTTTTTTTGGCAATTAAATGGCTTTTTATGACCCTGCTGTATGAAATGTGCTTGGATTTAGGGTGCCAACTTACCTGTGTTGACTTTGTTTATTTAATGGAATACATTAGTGTAAATGACTATGATGTTCAATAAACTATATTAATAATCAGTTGATCAACAATCAGATTGTAACAGTTTAGTGTAGTTAAATTGACGAGTTGCAAATTAATGATTGCTTTTTTGTGCTATTGTATCTTTACTGCTTTTCAAAATCCACAGTATTTGTCCTTAATTCAGTTTTTGCTGGAAATTGACGTAGTGAACTGCATAGAGAAATATTTTTACAACTCCCCATAAAAACACTGCATGATATTGCTCAATTCCTAATTTGGTATTTAAATTACACACTTTTGCTATCCTAAACAAAGAATGGCTCACAGATAAATCTGGGTATATTAAAGTGACATTCAATTCAGGAGTTAAATCTTAAAAATGCATTCAAGTACCTTAACTATCAAAAAAATTGACCTTATTAGTACATCACTTAGCTGTAGATCCTCAAATCAACTCTGAATTTGTTCTGACACTGTCCTTTCTTCTGGAGGGTGCCTACTTTTGTTCCCCATGATCCCTGTGTGTGTTGTAAAGTAGCTACAGCTGCAAGCTCACTCCTGTAATGGGCTATAATATCAATACAAATTAGTAAACTAAACATGAGATTGTAGTCCATCATCTGAGCGAGCTTGGAGCTCTGGCTACTTTAGAACACACTTAGGGATCATGAGGAACAAAAGTAGTCACCCTCCAGAAGGAAGGACAGTGTCAGCACCAATTCAGAGATGATTTGAGATTCTACAGCCGAGTGATACACAAATAAGCTACGTTTTTGTTAAAGGAGAACTATAGGGCAACCCTTTTTGCCAATAGTTCTCTTCAGGGTCACAGGAGATAACATATACTAATGTCCTCCTGTGACCCAAAACTCAGTATACAGTGGGCTATTGCCTGGGATGGATAATACTGTCAAGATCCACCCTGCTGGCTGATTGACAGCTGGCTCTGCCTCTCTAGAGGCAGAGCTAGCTGTGCCCACCCCTACCCATCCATTTCTCCATTCAGCACTAGAGAAACAGAAAGGGGAGGGGGAAATCCCTGGGGGGAGCAGTGACTGACAGTCACCGCTCTCTGCAGGGAGAGGATCAGGAAGTCAGCGAACGTCGGCCTGTGTTCATTGACTTCCCGCTCAATAGAGCCAACCTGTGACCGCTTCAGTGTCACAGGTTGGCTTAAATTATGGTGATGAGTGTTTCTCACTCACCCATGAATCTTCTTTAATAGTTAAGGTACTTGAATGCATTTTTAAGATTTAAATCCTAAGTTTAGTGTCACTTTAATTTGCGTACCCTGTGTTTAGGGTCACATGCATATGTTTGCATCATGCAATACTGTATGTATCCTATCATGCCACATTGTAAACCCACCACTGTGTAAGTGTATAATTAGCCTTATCCTCATTTAAAAAAATAAATCAGATGTGATCATGAAGACACTGTTTTCTACATACCACAGAATACAGAATAGCTGCCTTTTGATAAGACGGCAGAAAAAAGCAGGAACAAAATTAGTTACTCTCTTTCTTAACTAATCAGTTTGCTTGTTTCATGTTCATGGACAATAAAAGATGAGGTTTGGTTGGCTGCTGTAGGCATCCGCTATCCTATCTATTCCCTCCAGTTTTTATAAATAGGTCCCTAAGATTCTTTAGATCCTTTGTAAGCATGCTGCAGCTCTCTAGGTTAATTTAATCAGTTACTAATTCCCATCATGGTGAGACTTGCAATAGAGAGAGCCACAGGATGTCTGAACCAGATGGCTTTGGAGAATTAAGAAAATAAAAAAATCCCATGATCCCTTTTTCTGCTTAGTGCTAATATGAGTTGAGGAAACTACACATAACCATTATATTTATAGTGCAGAAAACATGCCTGGTGTTACAATTCTTTGTATGAGTCACCATTTGTTGGTATGCCGATTATGACAAAATTGGAGCTATAATTTCTTTTGTTCACTGCTCCTTTATTGTCTCAGTGTGATAGTGTTTACGTTGTAAATAGTACAAGGTTATGGGTCTGAAAATAACTACCTTGTGCTTTAATTCAGTTTATTTTCCAAACATGGTAGAATACTGAGAGATTAAGCTTTCTGAAGAGGGTTGAGTTTAGCCTCAAGGCCGAGATTAAAGCTTGTTTAAGTGAACACAGCACACAGGTTTACTCTCACTGTAGGAGCAGAAGGGTTTGACTAGATTTCCCATTCTATTTGTCTTCATAACTCAGTTTTGGACACACAGCTTAAGCATATTGCTGGCTTCATAACATTTGGGGGCCATGAGTGGGAAATTTTGCCCAATTTCACTCTTTTTGCTTTATTTTCACCTTGTGATCCTGCCAGTAACACACTTCCTGTCCTAGGGTGACAATGTTCACTTACTGTACTGACTCCATAACACAGGGGGAAGGGTTTTTTTTGTAGCCCACACAGAGAACTAGGAACAATGTGAGGTAAAAACAGTCATCAGAGGCACAAAGCACAGAAAGTTATTAGTTCAAAACATTTCTGGCAGGATCAACATTTTTTTGGCACTGATTGAGCAAAGATAAAACAAAACACTCTTAATAGTATGTTTATAAGCTACAAGCGAGAAAATAAGATACGTTCATTGCTAGGGTTTGCATACACTTCTGTTCTGGCATTTCTGTAAGAGTTTAAAGTGACCTAATCTCAGGAGTTAAACCTTAAAAATGCATTCAAGTACCTTAACTATTAACAAAAATGTATCTTATTTGTGTATCACTCAGCTATAGAGCCTCAAATCGTCTTTGAATTTGTGCTGACACAGTCCTTCCTTGTGGAGATCTACTACTTTTGTTCCTCATGATCCCTGTGTGTGTTGTAATGTAGGCACTTCAGAGACCCCCTGAGACCCTGACAGCAGCTCCATGTAAACGCCTGCACACCGCATGTAATGGTATGTGATATGAATACATGCGGTTAGAAAACACTCTCCCTGAATGCACAATCATTGCGTCCAGGGAGAGTGACTGATTCCTAACCGAATGTAATCATATCACATACCATTCAGAATTAATGGCCATCATTCCAATCTTTTTCAGCCACTAACGGCACCCGACAGGGTGGTCCTCCCCCCCCTAATCTTAATCCTCACTCTTGAACCTTTTCTCCAACACATTAGAAATAACCCTGACACCACCGGTTTACAGGTAGGAATACATCTACATAAAGTTGCCAGATATGCTGACGACCTTCTGTTTTACATCACAAAACCACTTACTTATTTACTGAATCTAATGAGAGAATTACAATTATATGGCTCCCTCTCAAATTTCAAAATACATTTTCAAAAGTCTGAATGTTTCCTTACCTGATCCCCCTAACCTAACTTCTCCTTTTGTTGGTCAACACAAGCCATTCATTATTTGGGTATAGATATCACCCCTGACCCTACCCAGCTCTTTAAATTCATTTTCTTACCCTTTCTCCGCTCTCTACATAGCAACTTAGAAAAATGGCAGTCTCATACGCTTTCATGGTTTGGAAGGTGTAATGTTCTGAAGATGACTGTACTGCCTTGTCCCCTGTATCTTGTTCAAACAATGCGTGTCAGCAATTATTTCTTTCGATCTATACGTTCTGCTTCCATTCATTTTATCTGGTGCGAAAAAGAAGCCAGACTAAAAGGGACCATATTGACACATTCAAAGGTGAACGTAGGAGTAGGACTCCCTGATCCATCATTTTATTATCTAGCAAACCATCTAACCAGAGTGGCAGACTGATGTAGACATAGATAACAAAAAATACGGGTTTCTGTTGAACAAGATAGTTTCCCGTTCCCTTTTCAAGGAGCCCCATGGATTGACATCCACCTCCAGGCACCCTTATCCAGACACCCCCTAATTGGTTCCACGCTATCAGCTGTACATAGATTTTACTCTTTAAGTGCAAACCATGCTATCTATCACCAGTGTCTCCAATACTAGGCCACCCTGCATTCACCCCTGGTTTTACGGATAAAATATATTTTGCACCTGGCGTGAGGCAGGATTGGAGTTTACAATTTCTTACATTCCAACTCTTGGAAATAAGAGTTACCCTACACTCAAAATATGAAGTACTTTGGACTAATGGTGAATGTTTACAGCTTTTTCACTTTTTGCAGCCTTAACCTAACCCATGGCTATTTTCCAGGACACAATCTCCTTTCAAGGATCTATGTGTTGGACTAATGTCTTTATTCAACCTCAAATACTATGTAACTATGTATGTTCAGGTCAGGGCATAGTTAAGGGTTCCCTCTCCAAAGCCTTTAAATTCATTCTCCACGATTCTTCCGAATATGACCTATCTTTCATTCAAAAATGGGAACGAGATTTGGGAAACAAATTCTCAAAAGATCAAATTGACCAGATTTTATTCTTTGCTCACAAAGCATCAATTTGTAATAGATACCCGCTGGTATAGGACCCCCTCTGTCCTAGCAAAACTTTTACCAGGTCACTCTAATACCTGTTGGCAATGCCGATCCTCTATAGGAACTTTATTCCATATTTTTGGGTATGCCCATCGATCAAGCCCTTCTGGCAACAGGTCCTTGGTATAATCAAAGACCTTACAGGTTTTGATTTGAAGAACAATCCAGCCTCTTAAATCTAACTCCAATGTCCAGAAAGAGATATAACAAATCAATACTGATACATTAACTGAACACAGCTAGGGTATGTATCCCTAGCACCTGGAAACAACTCAATCCTTCCACCATAGTTCAATGGTTTAAAAGAGTAAAGAGTTTAAAAGAGTAAACAAAATCAGAGACATGAAGAACCTCACATCAACCCTTTATGATAGGACTGACTATTTCTCCCAAACTAGGTTTTACTGGGAACAATTTGTTTCATCTATAAAATACATAGAATACACTACCCTACTTTAAGACATCATCAGTTCATTCCTTTCTGATGCTAGCGCTGACCTCTGACAGGGGTATCTTCTTATATCCTTGTTTTCTTCCTCTATTTCTTTATTCTATTTTCTGCTATTCTTTTTCTTCTCTTGACTTTACACCCCCACTTTCCCTTTCTATGTTACTGAACCCCACCCCCATTGTTCCCTTCTTCTTTCCCTCCTCACTGGTCTCTCCTACTCTTTTCCCTTCTTGTTCATCTTGGGCAAATACCTTCTCATATTTATTACAAAATTCTAACTCAACCAACTTCTACTCAACCCCATTACATAATTATTCCTCCAGTCTATGATAAACTTCTTGTTCATTATAAATTATGCATATTGCTTATTACATTCAGACCTTTAACAAATGCCATATCCATTTTCTCTTCATAACACCATACTCAGTTATGGCATGAAGCTGTTTGTATTTTGGTGGATTTTGATTGTTAAATAAAGAGTTTGTAGGGAGTAGTAATATGCAGGGGTAATAGTTCACACCATAAGCAGTGTGTTCCGGTCCGATTCTGGACGGAACGCACTGCCTCGCATTGCGGCCGGCTCACTTTTTTGCCAGGCTGGATGGGGCGCGGCTGGCCATTGAAGTGAATGGCACCCTAGCAACGCCCTCCAGCCAAAATGTGATCGCCCGCATGGGATCGCTAGGCACATTTTACCTGCAGTCCGGTCCGGTGCGGTGCAATCAAAATAGTGCTTGCAGAATTTTGATTGCAACTATCATTTTTGTGTTTTAAAGTGAGGATGCAGTTAAAAAATGGAGTCAGGCTGTGCTGTTGGACACAGTCTCACATGAATCCTATACAACAAAGTCTGTAAAATAAGAGACCACAAAATTCAAAGCCATGTTCCTGCAATTACAACCTTTTACACAGAGCTGTACATTATAGTATACTTGGTGGATTTGCAGTATGCTCACACCAAGTGGGGTGGATACAATTCAGTGAGTAGCATGTTCAAGTGTAGTGACTGAGCTAGTGAGCTGTACAACTGTTGTGCTTTGCATTAAAGACTTTGCTGTGGCATTCTTTTGTATTTCTTCTTGTTACTGTTCAAGAACTCAAGAATCTCATTATGACAATCAAGTTTTTTGTACCTAGATTAGGTCCTCAAAAAACTCTATTAGCAATCCTAAGTTTGATTAATTTGTTAAGTGTCTCCAACACTTGTCGTAAATTTTGCAGAAATTACAGTTTTATTGTAGTTTTCACAATTCTAAATATGGGGGTGAAGACTATATGAAAATGGGCATTATTTTTTAAATGTTTAGAGTAGCATAAATGTTAGACTTCGCCTTGCCAGCAGAATGCCCATATTTTTCAGGAATCACTAGAAAACTTTAACTGAGCTTCATTTAGACCTTTATGACCTTTTTCATAAAACCATATAGTATACTGTAAATTGGATTGCATTCTTCTTCTACATGTGTGTTGCATTCCAGACAGATGTTATTACAAATAAAACATGCTGCCCAGGATATTTCGTTTTCATGACTGAAGAGGAGATTAAAAAAAACTCAATGCCAACACCCAGCCTGTAGACCATAGAGTACACTTGTCATCTCATTTTAGACTTTTTAATGTAAAAAATTATGTTTAGGCAAAATAAGATACATGCTATTACCTTTAATAGCTTAAAAAAAACTTAACTGTGTGCCCTACAATTCTAGTTTCATGTGTAGCACTCCCTTACCCCTTGTTGTTGTTGAGGAGGACCCCCAGGTGAGCTATTATTTCAACTCTCTGGGCATAATCCTTGACTTTTTGTGGGTAAAAGAAAATTAGGTGCCAGTCATTTTAGAATATTTAAAGGGTTTATTTAACTCAACAAACTCAGGAGGGAGGGTTAGGGTACAGGATATCCAAAACAAGCAATCTACAGCTCCAGACTTCTCTTCTAGTAACATAGGTAGTTGGTCCTTTAAGAGCAGCCAAGAAGAATCCAGGCCCTATGGAATCAATCACAGACACCGTAGTGGATGAGCAGTGAGATATTGCAATGTCTACTGGAAGCAGCTTGCTTATATCCAGCTCTCCAGAACACTCTTCAGCACTGAAGCCTCCTCCTAAGATGCTCCACACAGGCAGCCATGTTCCTGCTCAGCTCCTTTTGGATGTGCCATCCAGCAGGACAGAAAAAATACTTCAGGCCACCAGACACAGGCACACTGCAGTTTCCTTAGGCCCAGACTAAGGCCATACTTTCAGTAGCACACTGCCCTCACTGCAGGCCTGGGGGGAAAGACTAGACTTCTCTTGCACAGGCATCCTCTCTAAGCAAAAGCCTAGGAGGGAAGACCCTCCTCTCCTAACAGAAGGCAAAGGACCATTGTAGACCTTTCTTATTCCCTTCTCCAGTATGCATCACTGGCGATAAACTTCTAGTAATTGGCCAGAGAGAAAAAATATTCAGAACATGATTTCTTTCTTTTCTGTCAGCTGGAGAACACTCTCCAAAAAAGGCAGAAGAAAATATTATTCTGAACTTGGAGGAAACCCAAGAAGGAGAAAACAATAGTAATCTGAGCTCAGACTGACTACATCCTTGCTAGCCATTAAATTTGGATTACGGACACTCCAGCTTATGGCAGGGCCCCTATACATGTCAATACTTAAACTTAGGAAGGAAAAATATAGAACCAGGACGAAATGGGCACACAGAAGAGGCTTTTCTGGCTAACCATAAATAGCAAATACTTTTTGTTTCTAATTTTAGGCAAAGTCTTTTTTTAAGTTCATAACAGATGAGAGGTTTATTTTAGTTTGGTTAGCTCTTTCATATATGACATAGAACTATAAATAATTAAAGATAACTGGCTAGGGCTCAGTTACTTCTCAGGAGCCTGCAGGCCTAACACTGATCACTAACAAACATCTGTTACACTAAAAACAATTGGCTGTGATATGTTGGTACCTATTATGCTGTCCTTTGCAACTTGGTTGATGGATGTTATTGGTGCATTCAAATTATAACTCACTAATTTCCAGAGCAGTAGAAATGACCTGCTCCAGCTAGCACAGTGCTTTTCAGTTTAGGTCTCTGTGTAATAATAAAACACTTTCAAAGTGTATGCATGGCCTAAGCCTTGCCTGGTTGTTGGTTGCTTCAAATGGGAGAATCCTTTGGAGACATCAGACCATATATGATCTCAATCCTTAAAGGGCAAACGTAATAAGTAATTGGTCTATTTCTGCTATTTCTATGATTGTTACTCAGTGTAATTCAGACATTTAACCCCTTACTATAATTGAGGCTGATACACATACTTTGTAAGTCTCGAGTTACCTATACTCCAGCAATGAATGAGCCTTGAGTTTCCAGCTCTGTAGATAGTGACATCAGATGACAGAACCCTCATTAGTAGTTTGACCAAGTCCTCCCTCTGTACCGGACACATGGAAGGAGTTGACTCACCTATGGACACCAGTTTGATGTTCTCCTTCTCCAGGAACTCCAGGGCCACAGAGATGTTCTCCAGCTGCATCTGGCTAAAGGTGGGTCTCCGGTGGTACTTTCTGTACATCATCTTCTGGCTCAGCACATCCAGGAGGGCGATAAGTCTGAGCTTATCGCTCAGATTGTTCTGCAGGTTGCTTATCCTCTTGTTGGCATATTGCATTTGCTTGTTACACCAATGGGTGAAGGTGTTGGATCTTCTGCTGCTGGATCTTCTTCCAGGGAGAATCCTCAGCCAGGTCCTTCTTGGTCACCAGCATTGTGTAGGAGATGGAGGGACAGGAGAGCTGTGATGTGCTTGTGCCCTGGAACTGAATGCTGCTGTCTCCTGGCTCTGCTACTTCTGCACATGTGCAATAGGACTCCACCTCCTTTTCCAACACAGTGACTGTGTGCCAGGAACACCACATCCAGAGGTGGGTCTCTAATCAGGTGGCTGCTCGCTGGGTCCTCATGGCGGAGACCCCAGCAATATAATTTGCCTGCTTAATTGTGTACAACCACTAATTGCAGGGCCGACTTTAATGTTAATTGGGCCCTAGATTATGCTGATGGGCCCTTCCACCCCTTCCACCTTACCTGCCTCCCGACTTCCCAATCCAGAGCCCTGTATCCACCTAAATCACATTCCCCAAAAAGAATCGAGAAAAATCTATGTATGTATAAATATTTATATAGTGCAGTGCAATAACGCAATAGACTCAGGACTCAGCAATGCAATAAACTTAGGATTCTGCAATGCAATGGACTCAGGACTCTGCAACACAATGGACTCAGAAGGACTCTACAATGCAAATCGATGATTATTCTTATGGGTTTTTGTTATTTAGTCAGGTGCACACACACGTATGCGCACTACTGCCAACATGTCGAATTCTAAAAGTGACGCAGTTGCAGATCTGGACAAGTTGGCTATTTTGACAAAAACACCGGCACCCCCCCCCCCCCCCCCCCCCCCCCCCCCCACCCCCCCCCCCCCCCCCCCCTCTCTGAGCCCAGAGCAGCCGCACCTTGGCCCTCTTGGTTGTTACCCCACCGGTTCCAACACTTACATGTATTTTTAAACTTGGCAAACTGCTTATCCTGTATACCTTTTGGTGCACAACTATTACTATGATGTGTTTGTCTCACATGTCAGTAGGAGTAAGATAGGTAACAGTGCTTTGCCTGTCAAAATGACCCTGTTTTGGGTGAATCAGAATGAACTGAAAACTGCTACAGGTATGTGTAGGCATCTCTGCGTTTTTGCACTTCATACCTACCAGGCGTTTTTGCTTTTCTTAAAATGTCATAGTTTCTTCAAAGTATACAGTATATAGTTGCAAGAAGGCCAGGGACCACATATTTGGTCCACCGACACTTTTCAATAACATGTCTAATGCATGCTAAATTAATCTAAAAAACAGAAATAGGCAAAACACATTGCATTCACAGAAGCAACGTGATTCGTTTTAGAATGTAGTGAATTAATATTAAAATGTATAGCTTTACGAGTCCAGCTTTACGAGTGTTACTTTTTGTAATTGCTATTAAGTTTACAGACTGTATTTCTGACAAAGTATATGTTATAAATGGTCAAACAGATCCCGTGAATTAAATTTTTTTAGGCGTATTATTAAGTTTGTAGCTCACCAGGGGAATAAGATATCAGACCTTTCTGTATTATTATCTGTTAAGCTTCTATTACTTGTAAGTCTCTTGGCATGCTCCTCTGTTAATTGCTAATTTTTCCCCTTTATTGAAAAACAACAATGTTTATGAGGAATCTTGTTCACTTAGACATTATATCAAATATTAAAGAAGAACTATGGGGTAAGTGTTTTTTCCCATAATTCTCTTAAGGGTCACGGGAGGACATATACTAGCATTCTCCCATGACCCAAACCTCAGTATATCGCGAACTACAGCTTGTGGTATACTTAGACCGCCGCAGACGGGACGGATTCCGGCATTACTGCCTATCTAGAGGCATAGCCAGGTGTACCCTCCCCGTCCGTTCCTCCAGTCAGCGCTGGACGATCAGAGGCGGGGACAGGGTAAACCCTGCAGGGAGCCGTGACTGACAGTCACGGCTCTCTGCAGGGAGATGATCGCTCACCTCCCAATGTATTGAGCCGACGTGTGACAGTTTCATTGTCACACGTCGGCTCAAGCTATGAGGATGAGTGATTTTCACTCACCTCATAGTTCTCCTTTAATGACAATCTTACCATTATCACAAGACTCATGTAGATACTGTTATACTGTCATGTAGATATGTTGCTAATCGCCAACATAATTGTGCTGATGAATGTAAGTCAACTGTAGTTATATTCTGCCCTATCAGTACAATGGTACTGGGAAAAAAACCTGAATCAACATACAGAATCTCACTGATAAACCACTACGTGAGTTATCAGTAGCCTGATATAAACTCACACAAACTTTTGCATCAAGGTGTGTTTTTCAAGGTGTGTTTTTGCAAGTCTGGTGTAACTTGAATGAGCTATACTTCCAATGATATCAACATAGGTAAGTAGGAGAGCACCTCAACTAAAAATGCGTTCATCGTTCTGAAATGGTTTTCTTGGTCTGATTTATTATAGACGATTAATGTAATTAAACTAAAGAATTTTATAGTGCGTAGTATTTACACATAAAGTTACGATAGCATGGCAGCACTATTATTGACAAAAAAATATTTGTAGTTATTAATCCTCCTCATGTATCACTTGCCCCTCCCTTTTAGGTTGTAATCCCTCACAAGCAGGGCCCTCCTTACCATCTTTTCTTGAATTGTACTGTGATTGTAATGTCTTCCTTAAAGGAGAACTATGGGGTCAGTGTTTTTCCCCATAGTTCTCCTTGGGGTAATGGGAGGACACAAACTAGCGTCCTCCCGTTACCCTAAGCTCAGTATACTGCGAGCTACAGCTCGCGGTATACTGAGACGCCGCACCTGGAGCGGATCCCGACGTAGATGACGGGATCCGCCCAGCTGCGTGAGTGACAGCTGGCTCTGCCTATCTAGAGGCAGAGAAAGCTGTCCCCGCCCCCTCCCCCGTCCGTTCCGCCAGTCAGCGCTGGCAGATCGGAGCGGGGAGA